AGTAACTGGAGTCATCTTTGTTTTATTTGCATATTGTAACCATATCCCCTCTTCTGCAGAGTGAATAGCTGTAATCTATGTAATCGATCCTCCTAGCCAAGATCCTTCATCCACCTTAGTAATTTTATTGCCCATTGTTGAATTCTTTCATATCCTACAATGTCTATCCTGAGTATTGGTGATCATTTTTTATTTATTGCTTTAAACATTATTTAGACATTTACATTTTTTAATCCTTTCTTTTCCTTGTAAGACTGTCTCTTTCCTGGTGGAGGCAGAAATGGCAATGAAAACTGGGCAATATCTTCATAAAAAGAGAAGTCCTGGGCCTAAACCCCACCTTGCCCATATCCAAAACTACCAAAGGATACCTGTGCTTGTACAACACAGTGTGAAGGGCAGGTAGAAGCAAAATGCATAGAATACTATGGCTATAGGCAGCCTGACTTTCCTCAAATCTTTCTTTGATGGTGGAACAAATCAGAGCAGTAGTCTGGTAAGTTACAAATTTAGAGACCAGAGAGGACAAGACAGTGTAAAATTGGCTACTAAAAGAACAATTTTTAAATAGCAATTTTAGGCTCAAATTTTCTACAGACAAAAAGTGCAGGTAAGGTTGTACTACAAAATAAGAGACCACAGATGACACAGCAGTGAAAAAATTATCCAGCGGCGGGACAATTTTAAATAGCAATTTTAGGCCCAAATTTACTACATACAAACAGCACATTGATGAGTTTTACTACATTAATAATCTAAAGTCAGATTGCACAGCAGTGTAAAAATTATCCTGAAAATAAAAAGGGGTAAGGTGCAATCCTCTAGCTTTATTTCTGTTGCTGAAAAAAAAAACTTTAAAATACATGGATAATGTACTAAGCAACAAATACATTGACAATTATTAATGACAGGCGTGATGACTATTGAAGTTTTAAGGAAAATATAACCTATTGTTTTTTATTACCATACCAGAAAAGTTGTCTGACGTGCACCTACGACTAAAACGAAAATATAGTCAAGTTATTGTGAATACATTGAACAGTTCATCAGTGCATTTCTGTAGAGAAACTATACTTGTACAAGATAGAATTCACAGACATTGCTTGCAGAAATGCAAACATGTGGATACAGTAAAGCAGATGCATAACTATAATTGGCACAGCAGAGTTGGTGGTAAAATGAATGCTTGTACTGTAAATAACTTCACACTCTACACTTGTGCCAAAAGAATTGTTGCACTTCATTCCACTAATGGGATGCTGGTTGTTTTGATGTATTGAAGGTAGAAGGTAAAAGTGCAATGCCCTTTATTCAAAAAGTGTGTAGCACCCTCCTAGTTAGCTAGGGGGAGCTAGCTGATTATTTTTTAGTCAGAAGGGCTGAGCAGCAGCCTGGAAAATATTCAACTGGGTTAAATTTAGGTCAGGGCTGAGAGGCTCTTCAGATCAGTTCTTTGATCTTGGAGAAGATTCTAGAAGTAGTGGGCGGGGGTGAGGAGGGGCTGGTTTGCATACTCAAGGGACTCTGTCCAAACCCCAAGCAGAAGATTGGCATGGGACCAGAGCAGCCCTTAAGTATGACTGAGCCTGCTTAGCAGCGGAAGATGGAAGATGGAAGATGGAAGATGGAAGATGGAAGATGTGAGGAAGCTGAGATGCAGGAACCTGGGAGGAGGCCCAGTGGGAAGGCGCCTACTTACAGGCAGGAAGCTGGAAAGGAGGATCGCTCAGCTTCACCAGCCCCAAGAGTGAGGACAACCTGTAGAGCCAGGAAAGGAGCCAGCCCAGAGGAAGGCCTGAAGGCAGCCACCTACCTAAATCAGCTAGAAGGACTGAAACTGAGTAGTCCTACACCCCCTGGGCCAATTAAAGGAAAAAGAGCGCTCTCGGTGGAAACCTGATTATCTCCTTACCTGGAACTGTTTCATTTAAAGTGGCAGGCACTGGATTCCCTTGCTCAGGGATTCCCTCAGGCAGGTGGATAAGAGGAGGATTATCTGGTGTATGGGTTGGTACACCAGGAGAGGCTGGAGAGCTCTCCAAGAAGAGTTTCTGCTGTGTAAAGGCTTCTGCATAGTTGCTAAGGAATTTGTCCTTGGTTTGCAGTTCCATTTGGCATCTCATACACCCCTTACCCCATCCAAGTTCAACACTCCTTAATAAAACATAAAACCAAGCTCAAGGGCTGTTTATTGACTCCGAATGCAAGTCTGTGGAAAATGCGTGTTGCCTGACTGTGCAGCACTATATGGGAACCCAAATCTTCAGCAACTCCTACGGGGGTAGTGCTACAAGTGTAAAAAAAAAACCAGAATACTGGCTCCTAGATTTTGGAAACATTTATTCGGGCCTGACATATACAATAGGGAAAATAATTATTTAATCCCTTGCAGACTTTGTAAGTTTTCCCACTTACAAAGAAATGAAGGGTCTATAATTTTTATCATAGGTGTATTGTAAATGATAGAGCCAGAATATCAACCAAAAATCCAGAAAAAACACACGTTACAAATGTTATAAATTGACTTGCAGTTCAGTGAGTAAAATAAGTATTTGATCCCCTACCAACCAACCAACAATAATTCTGGCTCCCACAGACTGTCTACGTGCTCATGTGGTACACAGATTAGTCCTGATCAATTTAAGAAGGTGCTCCTAATGACAACTCATTATGTGTATAAAAGACACCTGTCCACAGAATCTTTTTCTTCCATTCAAACCTCAGCACCATGGGCCAAAGACCAAAGAGCTGTCAAGGGACGTTAAGGACAAGATTGTAGACCTGCACAAGGCTGGACCATCAGCAAGAAGATTGGTGAGAATGAGACAACTATTGGGGTGATTATTCGCAAATGGAAGAAAAACAAAAAAACCATCAGTCGCAATTGGTCTGGAGCTCCATGCAAGATTTTGTCTCATGGGGTAAGGATGATCATGAGAAAAGTGAGGGATCAATCCAGAACCACATGGGAGGATCTTGATAATGATCTCAAGGCAGTTGGGACCACAGTCACCAAACAAACCATTAGTAACACAATACGCCGCCATGGATTGAAATCCTGCAGAGCACGCAAGGTCCCCCTCCTCAAGAAAGCACATGTACAGGCCCGTATGAAGTTTGGCAATGAAAATCTAAATGATTCAGAGAAGGATTGGGAGAAAGTGCTGTGGTCAGATGAGATCAAAATTGATCTCTTTGGCATTAACTCGACTGTTTGGAGGAAGAAAATTGCTGACTATGATCCCAAGAACACCATTCCTAGACTCAAGCACTGAAGTGGAAACATTATGCTTTGGGGATGTTTCTCTGCTAAAGGTACAGGCCGACTTTGAGGGGCCAGTGGACGGGGCCATGTATGTATCGACATATCAGACTGGATGTCGCTCCATTTCCTCTAATTAAACCTGTCCAAAACCGAGCTCCTGGTCTTCCCCCCAGCCCGCGCCCCATCCTCTCCATCACTACTAACAACGCCACCATCACTCCCACCCCACACGCCAAAGTCCTGGGTGTCACCCTGGACTCAAATTTTTCCTTCCAACCTTACGTCCAATTACTATCAAGGTCATGCAGGTTCCACCTCCGCAACATCTCCAAGATACGTACATTCCTCACCCCAAACACTACTAAACAACTCGTACACTCCCTTCTCACTGGCCTACCCAAACAAACGCTATCCCCACTCCAGTCGATCCTGAACTCAGCAGCCAGACTCATCCACCTCACCAACCGCTCCACATCCGCCACCCCCCTCTGCCAATCCCTCCACTGACTCCCGATTGCCCAGTGCATCAAATTCAAACTGCTAACTCTGACCTACAAAGCCATTCACAACGCCGCCCCAAACTACCTAACCGACCTGATACCCAAATACCACCCTACCCGTGCCCTTTGCTCCTCACAGGACCTCCTACTCTCTAGCTCCCTGGTCTCCTCCTCCCATGCCCGATTGCAGGACTTCTGCAGGACTTCCCCATCCTCTGGAACTCCCTACCCCAATCCATCAGACTGTCACCTACCCTCCTCACCTTCAGGCACACCCTGAAAACCCACCTCTTCAGGAAGCCTACCCCACCCTCACCTAACAACTGACCTCCTCCACTCCTCCCACCTCTCCATCCCCTACAGCCATTTACTCCTGTACCACTTTCCCCTCCCTCCTAGATTGTAAGCTCGAAAGAGCAGGGCCCTCGAAACCCTAGTGTATTATATTGTTACTGTCTTGTCTCATGTTCTGTCCCCCTTGCTATTGTACAGCGCTGAGCAAACCCTTTGGCGCTATATAAATACTGTATAATAATATTGTAAAATCTTGGACGAGAAACTTCTTCCCTCAGCCAGAACACTGAAGATGGGTCGTGGATGGGTCTTCCAGCATGACAGTGACCCAAAACATACCGCCAAGGCAGCAAAGGAGTGGCTCAAGAAGAAGCACATTAAGGTCATGGAGTGGCCTAACCAGTCTCCAGACCTTAATCCTATAAAAAAAATTTATGGAGGGAGCTGAAACTTTGATTTGCCAAGAGACAGCCAAGAGACCTTAAGGATTTAGAGAAGATCTGTAAAGAAGAGTGGACCAAAATCCCTCCTAAGATATGTGCAACCCTGATAACCAACTACAAGAAATATCTTACTTCTATGCTTGCCAACGAGGGTTTCTCCACCAAGTACTAAGTCATGCTTTGCTTGGGGATCAAATACTTATTTTACTCACTGAACTGCAACTCATTTTATAACATTTGTTTCATGTGTTTATTCTGGATTTTTGGTTGATATTCTGTCTTTATCATTTAAAATACACCTATGATAAAGATTAGACCCTTCATTTCTTTGTAAATGGGCAAACTTACAAAATCTGCAGGGTATCAAATAATTATTTTCCGCACTGTATACAGTAATATGTGTGAACGTTCTGAGCACACAAATGATAAATTAAACTGACACAGAGGCGGTGAATTGCTGCATGCAATTATTTTTTAAAAGTATTGCTAATGTTGCTAATGCTTACGACTAAACAAGTATTTTTTTTTGTTTTATGTTTAGGTGCATTCTTAATTCCATATGGCATAGCTCTAGTATTGGAAGGAATACCTTTATTCCACTTAGAACTTGCAATTGGACAACGTTTAAGGAGAGGAAGTATTGGAGCATGGAATGCAATTTCACCATACCTTGGAGGCGTTGGTATGCATGTATTATTTTAACACACTTCCAGTTTGTTAGACAGAAATCCAACCCTCATGGAAGGTACACATGTTGGTTTTTTGCCCATAGACTTTAGAGGACAGTTGCACATTTAGATCCTCAACAGACAAACTCTTTAAAAAAAAAAAAAAGTAAAGCTTTATTAATTTTTATAAACATAACAGATACAGCCATCAGATCTGAAGGGGCAAAATCCCACATCAAGACACCAATAAACAGATATTGAGTATCAACAAGGTGTCAAGTACATTGTATGATAAACTGAGACACAATTCAAAAATTCTTGTGTCTGTCATTCTTGAAAATGGCTAATATTAAAAAGGGTTTTTCTGAGGGGAAGTGCTATATTGTTGTTGTCCTGCCTGCATGACAGGCTGTGGTGAGGATGGAGAATGCAAAGAATTCAGAGAGAGAAAAGGAAGAGGGGAGGATACAGAAAGAGGGAGAATAGGAAAGGGGAATGGGAAGAGGAAGAGGCCATAAGGGAATCAAGGAGGCGGTAGTACCAGGTGCGTAGAGGAAACAGAGTGACAAGGTTTTTTGTGGATTACTGCCTTTATGTCCATGTAACTTTAAATTATGAGAATTCCATGTAAACAATTTAGGTTATCCATTTGGTTATGTAAGTGGTTTAACGATCATGGAGTTGGGAGGTTGGACACAGGACCAAAAAGGTTTGATCTGTGGGCAAGACCTCCATATATATAGCATAGTCCCAGATTCCCTCTCATAGTGGTCAGATGCTAGAGGGAAAGTTTTCTTAATATCATAAGGGCATCTATACCACCAGGTACGACTCTTGTTCATGGGCTGAAGATACTATACAGGCCTTTATAGTGAAAGAGAATGTCTTCTGAAGGTCCCTTTCCTGCAACTGTCTGGTAAATTTTTACCTAAAGGGAGGGGTGAGATTGGTATATTGTAGTAGGTTCATGTAAGGAATTAAAATGAGATGAGAAGGTCATTCCATGCAGAGACATATGGCCTTAAATTATGAATGGTCTCTTTTGAACTCCCTTTTTAAGGTTGTCTAAGAAACTTAGTAATAGAACATATTGCAACCATTGTTGGGGGTAAGGGTTTAGATCCTTGGATGTATTAAGTGGTTGAAGGTGACCACTAGTCAGTTCTTTTGCTATAGAAGTAGAGGATCGACATCAGCACGCGAGATATGAGGCCCAGTCGAGCTTTGGAGGGACAGTTGGGTTACCTATAATCAGGAACATTGGGCCCATGTAGGTAGAGGTAAACCAGTGTCTAATCACATGATCCCAAATCTGCACTTCCAGGTACTTAATCATCTTAGAAGCCCATTTGAAGGAAAAATAACTTAAATATTAAATTGTGTTAAAGTCATCCTCCAGGATTGATGAGAGGAGGTCTCTAAAGTGTTTAGAAAAGGTATAGTTAAACCTACCTGGGCCCATATTTTTACCCAATATAAAGACAGATTATGTTAGATTTCAAGTGTAGTGAGGAAGGTAGGTAGGACATCAATGGCAAGGCAAAACAAAGAGTTAGGTTTAATGAAGCATAAGCGCTGGGAGGTGGTTGAAATTATTGTACAAGACCGCATAATAGTCTTGAAAGGCTGAAGCTATAGCACGAGGACTATTGAATACTGTTTCCTTGTTGTGGGACATGGTGGATTGGTTAAGCAATTTTTTTAGCTCTGCCTTCTTGAGAAGCATCTTTTGAAAACACCCTGTGAACATTTGTGTTCCTGTTCTAATTTGCTAAGCTCAAGAAAAAGAGTGGAAAGCTATGTAAATTGCACCTTTTTGATTTAGGAGTCATGGGCTATTGAGAACTCTCTTAGTATGCATTTCAGTGTTCCCCACTAATGGCAAGTGGGGTGGTATCTATCTTGTGATCAGCGAGAAAGTTGGCAGTAGTTTGAGAGATAGATGTCTGTACTGTTAAGAGAGATTCATTAAACCTCCAAGTAGCCAAAGACTTAGAGCTTATTCACACATGTGCGGTACGGATTGAAGCTCAGGTTTCACAGCTAAATGACACAGTAGTTGTTCAGCAGTTCATGTCAGGTTTACATCAGGTTCAGGACAGGATTAGAAAAGGATTTTATCCTGTTCACACATGTGGTTTAGAAATGGTTCCCATAGAAGTCAATAGCCTGTAATCTGCACCTGGACCTGAAGGCACTGCTTAGAATCCGCACTGAATCCACACCACCAGTGCACTGGACATTTGTGACCAGGCACCATAGGAAGCAATGTTATTTCACAAGTCATGCGGATTGGATTGTAAAACAACCCATTCAGTTTAGAATATAAATTAAAGGCAAAACATGTGTGTATAGATATAAAAAAAACATTCAAACACTTTTTCCTCCTTTTTTTATGGGTGATCATATTCTCTCTGTTCTCAGCTGCATAGGAGCTGGGGGAGAAGAAATAGCAGCACACTTAATTTCCCAATGAAAGACTGTGTAGGGAGGGTGGGTGTCAGGACAAGTCTCATCATTGAAGGAGAGCACCCAGCACAGCTAGAGAACTGACCACAGTATGTTCTCCTGCTTAGTGTAGTCAGTTTTTAATAGGAAAGCAGAGAGACTGACAAGAAAACTAGGGGTTTCACACAAAGGAAGCAATACAAAGAGAACAAGATACCTTTTCAAACAAGTACATGGTAGAGCCGGCACATAACAGGAATATGAAATGTTGGATTTACATATTCTTTAAGTTAAGGTTAGTTAGTAGATAGTCATACAGTCAATATTTTAGAAGGATGTATCTGCTTTCTGTGTCAATGGCCTAATGACCTGGGACAAATATGGAGGGGAAATTAAAAAATAGAATAGTCCCACTCTTTGGGTACAAGGCAAGGGAAGGTGGGTGGATCTAGTGAGTCTACAATGCAACCCATAGAGTGTGCAGCTGGGTATTCCTGGTCACAATGGACCATAAATCATGCTGCATCATATATCATGAGTATGGGAAGAATTATCTTTTAAAATGGGATAGGTAGAAAGCCACCTGTTTTGGGGAACTACCTGGAGGAGAGATGTTTTTTGCCAAATGAATGAATTACTGTGTCAATGTACCAAGAATGAAAGGAAATATTCTGTTTGTTCAACTTAATGTTCTTGGCCTCATATTTTTGGAGTAAAAATTGTATTGTATTTAACCATACCAGATTTGACATTTTTCATTATGTGCTGGGTTAATGAAGAGAGAGAGAGAGATGTTCAGCACCTATATGAGCTCTATTCGTGCAGCAAGGGCTAGGATTCCTGGTGTCTGCTCTGTACTCGGAAAAGGCACAGCGAATGCTGAAGACCACACTCATAGGCTCTACCTGGGTAATAGGACAAGAGATCCTTGAATTATATGTAGAGAGTCCCATTACTACTGAGGTGGTATTTTGCATCACAGACACACAGGGAAGTAGGCCTTCCACTTGGGTACAGACAAGCCAATGTGACTTCACATTTAATTGCCAGTGGAAAAGCAAAGGAACTATGGTGTGTGATCATAGGTGGACAGCCGGATGGGGCACCTGCTATCACTTCATATGATCTATGATTCTGAATAAAATGCTTGTAATAGTCAGAATTCCTTCACGTGCAGGGGCGGACTGACTATTTGGAAACTCGGGCACTGCCTGAGGGCCCGGGTCAGTAGGGGGACCCATGGGATGCCCCTGGTACCTTTTTCGAGTTTGGGCAAGGACACGGGCCCCATGATCCCCTATTGCCCGGGGGCCCCATGAGTTGTCAGTCCGCCCCTGTTCACGTGCAAAAAAAATTAGACCAGGCAAACTCTGCAGGGAAGGTTGATTAGGTGCTACATATATGTAAGCAAGGTAAAGAGTATTAAGACAGGAATATGCAACCTGTATATGTACCCTACAAAGTAAATTCAAATGTCAAAAATCTATAATCTACTGTAAATGTCTAGTTATTCATCAGTTATCTTCAGAAAACTCAATATCCCTCCACAATAAATAAAAAAAGCTAAAGGTAATTTGTTTGATATTCTGTTTTACAGGTATTGCTTCATTGCTTGTTTCCTTTCTGGTGGGAGTGTATTATAATACTATTATAGCATGGATTCTATGGTATTTCTTCAATTCGTTTCAAAATCCACTTCCATGGAGTTACTGCCCTGCAACAGATTACAATAATACAGGTAGTAACACTCTTGTGGTAGCAACAAGTGTCTGATAAGCTATACTGAGGGTCTAACTTGTGCCACTGAGGCTACTGAGATCCAGTAAAATGACAAAGACAACAGTAAGTACCTGCCCAGTACTATGTGTTAGGTAGGTGTTGCAGAAATTGTTTCCTTAAGGAAACATGCTGCAGTAACCTCTGCCAATACAGTATACACCTAAAACTATATTAGTACCTCAATCCACTACAAAAATACCTTCCTATAGCATACATCCGTTCATTTGTACAAATTAATGGTGCTAGTACATGATAATTTAGAGAATTGGGGAGCATTTCTTGAGCAGCCAATTATCAGGCCCAAGCAATGTAAAATCAATGAAAGGTTCTTAGTAGGAGCGGACTGACCATTGTGGAACTCGGGCACTGCCCGAGGTCCCAGGGTCAGTAGGGGGCCCCATGAGATGTCCCTGGTACCTTTCATAGGCTTTTTTGGGTGTGATTTGAGTGTGGGCAAGGACACAGGGGCCCCATTATCCCCTATTGCCTGGGGGCCCCATGAGGTGTCAGTCTGCCCCTGGTTCTTAGTACAGTTAATGGTTGAACTGGATGGACTTTTGTCTTTTTTCAGCCAGACTAACTATGTAACTATGTACTATGCAAGGCACAAACCAACAAGCTGTTGCCCTTCTAGCAATTTAGTCCCAGATCTAAGGTGGGTGAACTGTAATTAGACCATACATTTAACCAACAAAAATGCACTAAGTGTGCACAACAACAATGTAGACCAGTGTTTCTCAACCTTTTTTCAGTCAAGGCACCCTATCACATTATGGACAGTCCTGAGGCACCCTTTTAAAATTATAGACAGTCTTGAGGCACCCCATTCTATGTTCATCATTTTAAAAGGGCACCCCAATCTCAAATGTGAAAAGCTATTCTAATAGTTTTATATAACGCAGCAACATCCACACATGCAGGACACTCAACATTAGAGGTGATTTATTCTTCCATAGCAAATACACTTTTGCACACTGGTACTGACTAGTATTCTAATGTTTCCCTTCTCCCTCAGTTTTTCTCCATCACTGAGCTAATGTGACCCCAAGACTGATAGAGAAGGGCAGGAGAGGGTCAAACTAGGATGCTGTGTAGGTAGCTGACATCCTCCTTATCAACTGATGATATCATTGGTTGTCAGGATGCCGGCAGCTGGGAGATCGTAATGATGCACAATGAAAACCTGTGGTTTTGTTTAACTAAAAGGCAAGCTTGTTCCACCCGCTGGCTTGTATAACAAGCTTTGGACAATTTTTAGATATTTTGCCAAGGCACCCCTGAAGAAACCTCAAGGCACCCCGGGGTGCCTGGACACCCTGGTTGAGAAAGGATGATGTAGACCTTGATGGATGGCACTGTAGAGCAAGACACCAGTCTGGAAACATTTATTATACAGAAACGTGTTACTGACAGTAACATGATTTCACCTCCTAATATCACTGCCATCTTTGGCCTGTGTTAGCCAAGTCCAGTCCTGAACTCACCTCCTTGAAGTGCTACTAAACCCAGGACCCTTCATTCACTGTATCTGGTCTCCCACAGTACACAGAACATGGAAATGAAATTATTTTAGTAAATATAAACTGCTAAATACCTTTTCTCATCAGCAGTTACAGCAGAGCACATGTTAAAGCTTGTTGGAGAGTTTTATTTCTGCTCTAAGAGGATACAGAACCTCCGACCTCTATCTGGACAGTGCTGATTGGCCCTGTGCTGATCACATGCACTCTCCCAAGAAAAAAAAAAACCTCTCTAGCAATACACACTAAACTGAGCATGTGCAGAGTGATTCCACACAATATGTCTTATCAGGAAATAAGAGGGGGACACTGGAAGAAAGGGAGGATCAGCCTTTTTAAACAATGCAGAGAATAACCCCTTAGGTTCCACAGTGAGTGTACCAAGCATGCTTTACTGCATCTACAGACTTATTTTACTGTTGTGGGTTTAGTAACACTTTAACCGCTTTCCCGCCACCCTATAGTAGAACTACTGCTACAGGGTGGCATGATGCACAAAATCATGTCTTTATACGTGATTTGTATTGCCGGGTAGGGGGGAGGCCTGTGCACGCACTGCTCTACCCGCGCCACCATTGACGGCTAGGGATGTAAATCACCAGGTCCCTGCCAGAGATCCCCTGCCGGCACCTGGTGATCGCCGTTTAAAGCTGACAGGGGAGAGATCTGTGTGTAAACAACACAGGTCTCTCTCCTGCCAGCAAGGACATGCTGCTTTTATTTCTTTGCACAGCAGAGAAATACAAAGCAGTATGTCTCCCTAGTAAAACACACACAGCACATAATGTAAAACAGCACACAGCACACAGTTAACACTTTGATCACTCCAGATGTTAACCCCTTCCTGCCCGGTGTCATTAGCACAGTGTCAGTGCTTTTTATTAGCACTGATCACTGTATTAGTGTCACTGGGGATGTCAGCGGCAGTTAGTCAGTTCCCACCCAGTGTCAGAATGCCCACCACAGTCCTGCTATAAGTTGCTGACTGCTGCCATTACTAGTATAAAAAAAATAAAAAAATTCCAGTATATATACCGCCATTTGTAAACGCTATAACTTTCATGAAAACCAACTAATTTACACATATTGGGATTTTTTTTTTTTTTTTAGCAAAGACAGAATAAATTTTGGCCTGGATTTATGAAGAAATTTGATTTTTGAATTTTTTTTACTGGATATGTTTTTATAGCAAAAAGTAAAAAATATATATTTTTAAATTGTCAGTATTTTTTGCTTATAGCACAAAAAATAAAAACGCAGAGGTGACCAAATACCACCAAAATAAAGCTCTATTTATGGGGAAAAAAGGACATACATTTCATTTATGTACAGCGTTGCATGACAGCGCAATTTCAGTTAACATAACACAGCACCATATCTCAAAAAATGGCCTGGTCAGGAAGGGGGGTAAATCCTCTAAAGGGCAAGTGGTTGAGCATTCTAGGTCTCCCCTCAAGTCAGGACAAGACATAACACTCTGTGCCAGTAGTCTATACCTAGACTATTCATGCAAGTTAGATAATTCCAATAGGTGTCCTAAATTGTAAATGCTTGGTTCACATCTGTGCAGGTGGTGCCGCTGCGGGACCCACACAAATACCTGCAGCGGCACCACCCACACAGAGGAATAAGGGACCTGTGGGCGGGTGCCATTAATTCTAATGGCACGTCACCCGCACTGGAAATTGCAACCGTACTGGGAACCTCGGTTCCCGTGTGGGCTGCATCTCCTGAAGACGTGCAGGGACTTCTTACATGCATGTCCCGGGGCACGAGAGTCTATTCAAAAGAATGTGCTCTAGTGCCCATGCAAATTGCGGCCCGCATGGCCACACATTGTGAACCTGGCCTGACAATGAACTTCCCTTATCCACTCCCATTTGGTCTGTTTTATATACAGCACAGTGGCTAAATGGTTACCACTTCCACCTGGCAGTAGTAGTGTCATTGGTCTGAATCCCAACCAGGGCACCACCTTCCAGGAGTTTGTATGTTCTCCCTGTACCTGCATGGGTTTCCTCTGGGTAATTTGGTTTCCTCCCATACTCCAAAGACATGCTGGTAGGTTAATTGGCTAAATTGGCCCTAGTATACGAACGGTAGGTTAATTGTCTAAATTGGCCCTTGTTAATTACGGTAGGTTAATTGTCTAAATTGGCCCTAGTATACGAATGTAAGTTAGGGACTTCAGATTTTATGCCCCTTGAGGGTTAGGGACTGATGTGAATGTACAATATATATGTGTAAAGCGATATGTACATTGACAGTGCTATATAAGTATCTGAAATAAATAAATATTTATATTGTAAGCATTTTGTTATACCTGATAGCTGATCTTGTCAGAAATCCAGAGCTGTCCTGTGTCCTCTCCACACTTTCTCTGTGATCTCAAAAAGCCCTCCTAGTTCTCATCTTTTACTACAGAATAATTAGACTTTATGTCGTGGAAATCTGAAAGTATGAGTGGTAGTTTCACAAAGACAGTGGACAGGGCTGACAACACATGGTCCACAAATAGGCTGTGTATCAGCCCACAACAGGACTTAAAAGCTGAGTGCATTTCTGGCAGATCAAAAGGTATTTTTCTCTACCTGTAGGGTCTTTAAAGGGATAAAAGATACCCCAAACCAAATACCTACTTAAACACCCTTGTATCCAAGCCTCTCTCCAAGCCTGGTACAACCTTACAACTACTAAATTTGAAAATACCAAACACATACCCACCCCAATCAATATATTACTCCTCATCACTCCATCCCTAACTCTTACAATGGGAAAAATCTGGCCTAACCGACATAAAAGATCTCTACACAAATCACAATTTGGAATCATTCCAGACTCTCCACGATAAATTTAATCTACCCACAACCGAATACTTCACCTACCTGAGAATAACTCACTGCTTACTAACAATAAATATTACAATGCGTCTCTTCTTGACCAAATATACTTTTGGTGGCACCCAACAAAAGAAAAATTATGGTCTACCATGGAAACACTCCCATTGCTTCCACTTTTACCTCGAAACATACTCTTCACATCGCAAATAACCCAAACCAAATACCTACTTAAACACCCTTGTATCCAAGCCTCTCTCCAAGCCTGGTACAACCTTACAACTACTAAATTTGAAAATACCAAACACATACCCACCCCAATCAATATACTACACCTCATCACTCCATCCCTAACTCTAAAGGGATAAAAGAGGGAAATATGTATTTCAGATATGTACTGCATGTCCATTTATTCATATGTCTTGACATATGCCGAAACCATTAGAACATAGAAAAAAAAGAGGGTAGGCAAAAGGTAGATGTGGACTGCCTTTCTCACTGTAAATGAGTACCCTCAAAATAGGATTGATACTTTGCATGGCCTGCATGAATAGTGATTGAGAGGCCATTCATCTTGATTGAAATTATCCTCCATGATCCATCATGAAGCAAAAATGTCCACTTGACTGTAACTTGTAAAAACAGCCCAGACTCATTCATAGAAGGTATGAGGCTAGCAGGGGCGGACTGACCATTTGGAAACTTGGGCACAGCCCGAGGGCCGGGGGTCAGTAGTGGGCCCCATGAGATGCCCCTGGTACCTTTTTCATAGGCTTTTTTTGAGTTTGGGCAAGGACACAGGGGCCCCATGATCCCCTATTGCCCGGGGGCCCCATGAGTTGTCAGTCCGCCCCTGGAGGCTAGCATATGGTAGCCCCCACCCACATGACAGCAACTGGTGGAAACTGGTGCTACAATCACTGTACACACTGCTTGTGGGCTAAGTAGTACAAATTCAGAGCCATTTATATATGGCAAGCCACATCTGCCTAATGCCTACTACAACCATTTTTAATATCTATATTAGATATCGGTAACCAAAATGCACTATAGTGATTAGTGTGTCGTTCACGGCTGTTCTATTTTAAATCTTTAATAAAGTTTAGGGTATTGTCATATATTCCCTGGATGTTGTATTGTGGTGGGTTTGTTATGGTTTATGTTATGCATTTAATGCATTTGTTTTAACTGAAAGGCCTATTTCTAAAAGAGTGTCGAATTATTTAGGTGCTTATGAGGAGTGTAGTAGAAGTAGCACAGTTAACTACTATTGGTACAGAAAGACATTAAATATAACCACAACTATCAATGACAATGGAGATTTACAATGGTGGATGGCGATTTCTCTAGCAACAGCATGGGCCGCTGTATATCTGTGCACTATAAGAGGGATTCAATCTACAGGAAAGGTAATTCTGAAAAAGGTTTTTGTTTTGTAGTGTTAATGCTTGCCTTGTTTCATAGATAAGGAAATGTTTCTCTTTTTAGAAATAGAGTGTTGTGCCAAGTTTAAGGGCCTGTTCAGACATTGAGCCTGGGTTCTCACTGATGCGGTGCGGAATTTGCAGCGTTTGCTGTGCGAATTTCGCACCGCATCAGAATCGCACCCCGTTCATGCAAACCGCTGCGGGTATGTTAACAACACCCCGAAATCGGTCCACAAAATGCGGTGCGATCCGATTCTAGTGCGAACCAAAAAAAGGGTCCTGCACCATTTTGGTGCGGGTGCGGTGCGGTTAGAGCTATACATAATGTATGGCTCCAATCGCACCACACAAAATCGCATGTGATTTGCACAGGAATGCAGTGCGGTTCCTGTGCAAATCACATGCGATGTACCGCTCCGCATATGTGTGAGCCCAGGATTAAGATCTATAGCAGTGCACATACATTGTACATTTATTGATAAGCTGGGTGTTGCATTTTACTATGCATTGCCTTAAACCTGCCCATTCATTTTGAATGGCCTGTCAATGCACCTTAGTGGATAAAAAAGTGCCTACACCATTTTGTAATACAGTACATCATATTGCACGGCATATGTGCTGTGGTGTGCTGCAGTGCAGGTGTATTTCTAGCTACTGTATATACTGTAGATCCTGTATGCATATGTACTGTAGGTAGGTACAGTATGTCATATAACAGTGGTCACTAAATGGCGGACCGCGGTCAGAGAACGGCCCCAGCAGTGCTCCCTTCTGGACCACCAGCCCTTAATGACAGATCCGCCGCTGAGCAGGGCGGTCATCATGGCAAAATAACTTCTTGTATGCGCTCCGCCCCTTGCAGCTCACTGTCTCTCCAGCTCCCACTCCCTGCCTGTACAGAAGCGTCCTTCAGCAAGGATCCCAGCACAGTTCCTGTCTGCCCTCAAGGTAGAGTGTAGTCTTACTGGGGCACTCTGATGGGCACATTGAATGTGCCCATCAGAGTGCCCCTTAACATAAAATGTACCCAACAGAGTGCCCATTAATATAAATGTGCCCAACAGAGTGCCCCTTAACATAAAATGTACCCATCAGAGTGCCCGTTAATATAAATGTGCCCATCAGAGTGCCCCTTAACATAAAATGTACCCATCAGAGTGCCCATTAATATAAATGTGCCCAACAGAGTGCCCCTTAACATAAAATGTACCCATCAGAGTGCCCATTAATATAAATGTGTCCATCAGAGCGCCCCTTAACATAAAATGTACCCATCAGAGTGCCCATTAATATAAATGTGCCCATCAGAGTGCCCCTTAACATAAAATGTACCCATCAGAGTGCCCATTAATATAAATGTGCCCATCAGAGTGCCCCTTAACATAAAATGTGCCTATCAGAGTGCCCATTAATATAAAATGTGCCCATCAGAGTGCCCCTTAACATAAAATGTACCCATCAGAGTGCCCATTAATATAAATGTGCCCATCAGAGTGCCCCTTAACATAAAATGTGCCTATCAGAGTGCCCATTAATATAAATGTGCCCATCAGAGTGTCCTAAACATAAAATGTACCCATCAGAGTGCCCCTTAACATAAAATGTGCCTGTCAGAGTGCCCCTTATTTTATTATTATTATTATTATTATTATACAGTATTTATAAAGCGCCAATAGTTCGCTCAGCGCTGTACATTACAAATTTTATGTTAAGGGGCACTCTGATGGGCACATTTTATGTTAAGGGGCACTATGATGGGCACATTGTATGTTAAGGGGCACTCTGACAGGCACATTTTATGTTAAGGGGCACCCTGATGGGCCCATTTTATGTTAAGGGGGCACTCTGATGGGTACATGTTATGTTAAGGGGGCACAAATGGGCACATACTGTGGAAAGGGGCACTCTGATGGGCACATGTGATGGAAAGGGGCACTCTGATGGAGAATAATGCAAAGGGGCACTCTGATGGGGAAATATGATGGAAAGTGGTACTTTGAGTGTAAGGGGGGCACTCTGACAGGAATACCTGATGTAAGGTGGCCCTGTGATGGGGATATCTGATGTAAAGGGGCACTCTGGGAACAACTGATGTAAAGGAGCACTCTGATGGGCACACCTGATGTAAGGGGGCACACTGATGGGCATACCCTATTCGGACCTCAGCCAGAAGAAAATTTTAGTGACCGGACCTCCCTGAATTTGAATTCAATACCCCTGTCATATAACATCCTTATACTGAACATGAGGAAATGATGGAGACAGACTTCTCTTTAGTATTTTCTTTTGTTGAATATCGTAGTACAGAAATGCCTGGTGCTGTATAATATATCATGTACTGTATATTCCCCAATTTTATTTACTCATGTATTTATGTTTCTTTAACAGGCAGTTTACATTACTGCGACTTTCCCTTACATTGTTCTAACCATATTTCTCATTCGCGGTTTCACATGCCTGGTGCAATTGATGGACTGAGGTACCTTTTTACTCCAGATGTAAGTATTTAATTTAGGAACAGCATATGATGTGTAACAACTCCAGACCCAGTGCTGTATTAATCCTGCAAAGTCTAATGTTTAAAAGACTATAAATACAGGTGGAAGAAAGGTTTACCCTCTCTTATTTATGGTTATTTAGTTTGGTTGTATTCTCAAAGTTTGCAAAACATTATATTACAGCTAACAAAAAGTTAAAATATCAGCTTTTAAACAAAAAAATGTTATTATGAGCATATTCACTAAACTCCTACAGGATTGTGTAAAAAGCCATTAACAAATCCCCAAAAGTCGAGTAGGCACTTTTTTAAAGAAAATGTTCATCCTAAGGATTTTATGCACATTTGGGATTATTCAGATACTTGCTGCAACATACAATCTCAGGTGTAGTTTTTTTGTAGCATAATGGATAATAATGTGTTATCCTTGACTCAACCCTCACTTAAACTCCTCATATTCAAGATACGACCGTTCCTAACCCCCGGAAACCACTAAGCAACTTATTCACTCCCTTGTCATATCACGCCTCGACTATTGTAACTCCCTCCTCATTGGCCTACCTCATCACAGGCTATCCTCACTTCAGTCTATCATGAATGCTGCTGCCAGACTCATCCACCTTACTAACTGTTCTGTATCTGCCACCCCCCCTCTGCCAATCCCTCCTCTGGCTTTCAGTTGCCCAATGAATAAAATTCAAAACACTAACACTGACATATAAATCCGTTCATAACACTGACCCAAACTACATCACCAATCTTGTCTCTAAATATCACCCAAACCGTACTCTCTGCTCGTCGCAAGACCTCCTACTCTCTAGCTCCCTTGTCTCTCCTCCTCCCATGCTCTGCTCCAGGACTTCTCCAGGGCTTCCCTTCATCCTCTGGAACTCCCTACCCCAATTTATCAGATTATCGCCTACTCTGCTGACTTTTAGGCGATCACTGAAAACCTATTTCTTCAGGGAAGCTTGTCCCACCCTCTGCTAATACTGGAATCCTCTACTCTTCCAACCACTAAATCCCCCACAGTTATTACCTATTGTACCACTAACCCCTCCCTATTAGATTGTAAGCTCCAAGGAGCAGGGCCCTCAAATCCTCTTGTATTGAACTGTATTGTTACTGTATTGTCTCCCACTATATTGTAAAGTGCTGAGCAAACTGTTGGCGCTATATAAATCCTGTATAATAATAATATTCAGAAAATCTCCAATTCCTGTCACTAGCAACTGTTCTCTATCTCCAGAACATACCCTTTCCTAACACAAGCGACCACTTACTGTAAGTCATTGTTCATTCCCATGCTCACAATCTCTCACCTGACTGCTACAACATCCTTCTGTCTTGTATTCCACTAATTAGGCTCTCAACTCTACAAAAACCATGAATTTGCAGCAAGACTAATTTCTCTCTCCTACCACTTCTAACCTATGCACCCCTGTATTGGTTTCTTCATTGGTTTTACACCACCCTGAAAATGTTTTTATTTTTCTTTGCCTTAAAACATTTTGCAATGGTTCTCCACCAATGTTTTTAACTTCATGCACAAATATTTCCCAAGCTGTCCTGTCTCTTCTGATCTACAGTACTAATGTCCACTGTATCCACAAACAGTTCCTGCCTTGTTCTAACATCATACCATCCTTCCTAAAAATTGTAAAAGTTCCTCAAACTCTATATCTTTAAAATTCATCTATAACTTACCAGCTCCCATCAGCGACTCCTATCTTTGTTTTTCTGGTGATGGGCTCTGTTAGAGCCACCACACAGTTCATAGATGAGAAGGCTGATAAGAAAGTAGAGAAGAGAGAAGGTAGAGAGGAAGAGGAAAGAGTGATGGGAGGACTAGTAAATGCTGCATCTGTTTGATTTGGATATACCTGTCAGAAAGCTCCATTGGGAACTGGACACTGTGGTGCCATTGTGTTTGGACTCTGCTGAAATTTTCCTGGTTTAATTAGCACACTTTTTTTAGGTTACCAGGATTTTAGTGATCTGGAAAGCAGCATTAAAATTTTCTTTTGTGGACTTCTGTATTGGTGCTAAGCCTTTCATGTTGAATAGAGGACTACATTGTTCAAAAAAGCCAGTGTTCTTTATCCCGCTAATCTCCCAAACATCACAACTGGTGGAAGATACAGGCAAGCATTGAAATAACTGACATTTAAAGAGCCAATACACACTTTGAATTAGGAATGGAGGACATATTGAAGCAATTTGTTGGTGGCTAATACAGCACAGTAGCAGGCTAATGCAGAACAATGCCTGGCCAATGTGGCATTCCAGAAAAGTTTGGAGGCTCAAATAAAATTTTTGACTCAGACAGTACAATTACAAATCAATTATAAGTCATGAACCAATGGTTGTTTCCCCTGGTAACCAAGTAACCACCAAGGCCAGTCATTTAAAACTACCCACAGCCATACACCCCACACTGTACATCCCTATTTACCATTACCACATTCTGTACTATGTAAGTAATCTCAGACACTTTAACCACACCCCTTTTAAGCAACACCCGATTTCCAGTGCAATTTAAACCACACCCACTCTTTATCATTTCCTGGGGCCCACTTTTGATCTTGCACACAGGCCCACTGATTTCGTGATACGCCCCTGCCTTGAGCCATTGGCTCCTGCTGCTGTCCGGGTAAATTCTGTAAGGAAGAAGTGGTATGAGTGGGAAAGCCATGCTGTGTATGCCACACATGGGTGCCCCATAGCACACAGCTTTCTAAGGGGGCACCCAGAGGAAGAAAGAGCAGACAATGCTGAACGGGGATTCCAGAAGAGGAAGTAAGGGGCAACTCATGTGCAATATCGTTGCACAGATCAGATAACATCTTTTTATTTTAGCTAAATAAATAACCTTTACAATCACTAATCAGAGGTAACTTTTTCTGTTTAAAAAAAATGTATAAAGATGTCTGTACCTGGAGTCTCACTTTAAATTGCCAATTTATAACATTCCATACCATTATGCTAGTTTATTGCAAGAATCTATTGAAACAAATGCAACTGTAAAGGGATATATTTGCAATGCTGTTTTTGACATGGTTATAAATAGAGCATACTGTATACTTTCCTTACTAAGCGTTTATTATAATACATACATTGTTTTTTTCTCTTTTTTTCAAATGTAGATAAAAATTTTATTAAATCCACGAGTATGGTTGGATGCTGCTACTCAGATTTTTTACTCTCTTTCACTGGGTTTTGGAGGATTGATAGCATTTTCAAGTTACAACCCTGAGAAGTAAGCAACTTAATGTATTTGTGTGACAGGATTATTTTGTTCAGGATACATAAATGTGCATTTCTAATTCTAGCATTTGTTTAACTACCACAATGTCCAGTGGACACAGTGGTCATGCAATTGCGCTGTTGCGCAGGAGGTGCAGATCTGAGAGGACGTACAGGTAGTGGCCAGTGGCCTGATTTTTACACTAAGGATGGGCAGAGCCTGTTGGAGAACTGAGAGACTAGCTTCCCATCAGGTCAGCTCCTCTTTGATTGGCCATGCACGGAGACCGAAAGGGCAAATCCATAGCTGATATTCAGTCCCATAGCGAATTTCAAATCAATGCACTGTCACTCAAAATTGGAGCGGACCTGATGGAGAACAAGTTTCTCAGTTCCCCATCAGTCCTGCTCACCCAGTGACAAGTCATTTCCCAGATAATGGCATTTCTCATATTTGGGTAATGATATTAGCTGTATCGGTGGCCCTTGTGTCTACATTTAGCTTTTGGCTCTTGAATCTCCTGGCAGACAGCTAAATGGGGAAAGGACTACAGCGCTGTGCTGGAATCTGTCACAGACATGACAACTTCCCATCACAGGCACAGCCTGCTTTGAGTACTGGTGTACCTCTGTATGCCAGATCAGAGTTCATTCTAATTACTACCAGTTTCCTAAATGGAGAACTGGTGGTGATGATTTTCTCCACCATCTGCAAAAGAGTGAGAAAAAGAAAAAAAAAAAACACCCTATATTGGCATGGCATTTTCCACTAAAGAACAAAAATTCCATATTCGTTACCATGGGATAATCTCTGAAAAAAACTGCTGATGATTCTTTAAGAATTTGTTGTTGTTGCCATAGCAATAGATTCTTAAAGTGGCGGTAGTAAGAACCACCTGGATTTGCCACACATGTAGGTAATGGTTCCAGGACTGGCAGAAAATACTTGCCTCAATTAGATGCAGTCTGTTCTTAGGAAAATTGGCGATAGAGCCATTTTTAATTCCAATTTAAATGTTGTTATGTAAAAAAGAGAGTTAGGAACACACTATACTTCTGGCACATCAACAGTTATATTTCTCTACTTCCAGCATGTTTAAAGGAATAAAACATGAGGAAATATGCATGTATTGCAGAGATCTACAAATGATATATATATTTTTAATTTTTAAATACTGTACAAGAAATAGACTATGATTGTTCTTACGGAGTCAGAGAACTAAATTGTGGCTGCTCTTACCAGATCTGCTACCAAATAAAAATTATATTATTAATGAATAATAATATTTAGTGCTGCGCTCCCGTGCTAAATTAATTATATAAAAAAACTTGCAACAGTGATTATCAGTTCATAATCAAACTATATACTCAAAAACATATTAAAATAACAAAAACAATATAATATAATAGCCTTGATGCAAACAATTTCTGTGTTAAATGAACAGTCCTCTTGATAAATCCAAAAACTCGTGTCACCAAATGGGGAAAAACACCGATGAATATTAATATATATTGCGCTCACCTCCAATTTTTGCCTAATATATAAATAGGCAAAAAACACTTTTTGTCCTGACAGGACAGATGAAAACTACTCCTGCTCCAGATCTCTCACTCAGCTGGTTGCACGTTGTAGTATGCTAATGATCCACCTGGTGTCTCTCCACAATGCTGCTTAATAAGATGGATATGGAAGGATTCCTCACTCTCACCTCCAGGGTCTATTTGTCTATATATC